TTACAAATCCCAAGGTCATGAGTACATGACGTATGCCCGATTTTTATGAACAGTTGAGGATCCTTTGCGCTCCTACCCTGCTTTTGAGAATCAGAAATCTGAAAATGTTGTTTGTGCTTCTTTTCAATCCTTGTGCTTCTGGAACACTAAGGGGATAATTGTGAATGCATGAGAATTGAGCTGTAATAATGTTTATTGATACACTCTAATAATGGAATTTATGCAAACAAATAGCAGTATGTGATTAAATAAAACATAGTATATCCATGTAATAGAATACTTTGCAGCCATGAAAAATATATTGTGGTATAAATTCTATATATTGATGTAAAAAGATAATAAGTGAAGTAAGTATATAGCTATGTTAGTTTTTATGTTGGAAAAAAAAAGGATGAATTTATGACATATCTTTGGATAATAGGATTAAAAACTGCCATCCGGTTAATTCCAACTCGATTCTATATGGCAGAATTGAACTGTCCCCTTTGGGTTTCTAAAACTGTAAATCTTTATGGGAACAGAAAGCCTCATCTTTCTCTCACAGAGTGCCTTGTGGATTCAAACTATTGACCTTGCATTTAATAGCCCAACACATAACCCCATTGCTACCAGAGCTCCCTCGTTGTACTATAGGAGTTAAATATCTTTTGTTTTCTAATTTCCTATCATAACCTGCTTAGTTATTGCCTCTTCCAGGAACTCGTATTTTAATAATCCCTCCCCTATTTCCATTCCTTGTCCAGAAGAAGATTCATTCAATCTCTAGGTTCTGTTTATACCTCAACTGGATGAATTCCCTTGTCTTGTCCTTTATAGTCAGTCCCCAGCTTGTATTACTTCCTTTGCTTTATACAAGCAGGGACCTTATGTTTACTTTGTAAGTGCCAACACTTATTATAACACATTGTCCACAGTAGGGATCCAGTAATTGATCCGACAAACTGTGAATGAAGTGTTTTAAAAAATACACATGTTCAGGTTTCATTTGTAATCCTACTGAATTATTCTCCAGTGTATGAGCATTTGTGGAGAGGATACTTTTTTTAATCTCCCTAGTTAATGGTTATACATTGGACTACTAACTACTAAGTCAGGGATTCAAACCCGCCAGCCAGAGAAACATGAGGCCTTCTACTCCTGTGAAGAGTTACAGTCTCTGAGACCCATAGAGGCAGTTCTTCTCTGCCCTGTAGGATCACTGTGAGTCAGAATTGATTAAATCGAGGTTAGTTTGGTTTTCAGCGGTGAGTAGTATATAATGTAACCAATTTGGAAAGATTCTGAACCGTCTCCACCAAAGCTAAACTAATAAGCTTGACCTTTGACTCAGCAATCTCACTCTTAGGTAGATGTGCAAAATGTTTTTTAGCAGCTTTATTTAAATAAACTGTGGTATAGACACAAAGTAAGAACTACACAGCCATTACAAAGAATGGGTGCATCAGCATAGATACCTGTCCAGGATATTATGTGGGGCAGAAGAAGTCCGGCACCTATGAGTTCATATGTGTTATAGAACAGACAGCCATATAATATTCTGGCCTATAAGGGGATTAGTAACACCAAGGAGAGTACACACCATTTAGAATAATCAACCATATGACATCAAAAGAACAGTGTTTGCCCAAGGATAAAGCTGAGGGGGCAAGAAGGGGCAGGAAAAAAAGAATGAATGGGAACAGTAAACATAAGAAGTGGGAAGAATCTTTTTACATTCTACAGATTGCTGCCTTTATCATCATTTAAAATGTGTATAAATTGTTGATCAGAAAACCAAGTTGATGTTAAACTTTCACCCACATCACAAAAAGTTTTTTTCTTTAATAAAAAGTAGCAGGCAAAATCAATCAATGGAAACCAATCAGAATGATTATCTCTGAGAGAAGAATATTGACTGGGAAAGAACATAGGGGAATTTTCTAGGGTATGAGAAATGTTTTGTATTTTAATGATTCCCCTGTGTATTGTTAGACTGATGTCATCAGGGGAGTGGAGACTGATATGTTATAATTGGGCTGATTGGAATAATACAAATGGACTAGTTGTTTCCATGTGTGTTCCGTTTTTATCACTCATCTTTCCTCCAGACAGGGGAGACTGAGAGTTGGACCTTAGATGGCTGCTCATGAGCCTTTAAGACCCATTCGGGACTCAACAAATTGGGCTATAGCTAGAACATTGTCTTTGTGGACTGTGCCATACCATCTGATCATAAACATCCTCATGCCCAGTGACTCATGCCTTCAAGGTGTTTGGTTATGTGTCATAAACCATTTTCATAACTTTGCCCCTTGAATGGACCACCACATTTATGGATACATTTGTAATAAAAGGTCAATACTCATTTACAAATATCATCTGTCTAGCCTATATGTATTTTTGGTTCTACTCCACTGTCTCCCACACCCACTGAGCCTGCAGTGTATTCATGCGTCTACTCATTGATCACAGTTACTGAAGGGTTATGTATATTACAGTAATTGCCTCTGTTGCCTTTAACTCTTGCTCTTCCAGGTCTTCCCTTCCCTGCCTCTTTTTTGGGTCAACTTTACTTTTGCTGTATATTGCATTCCCTTTTACCCAAACTACACTATCCCTCCTTATACTCTGATTTTCTTCTTTACAAGTTTATGTCTGTGGTTCCCTATTTCCAGGCTTATAGGTTTGTTTCATCTTGCATACTTCTATATCTGGGTTGACGTCTAGGTGATGGTATCGTGTATGTTCATCTCAGGTTGTCTACTGTTGTTGGTTCTCTGCCCAAAGAACTCAGCATTTCCTGTAAGATTGAGCTGGTTTTTACAAATACCTTTCATTTCTGTTTATCTGAAAATGCCCTAATGTCAACACTGTATTTGAGGGACAGTCTTGCTGGATATATGATTCTTAGTTGACAGTTTTTTGTTTTTCATATATGTCATCCCAGTGACTTTTCACTTGCCTGGTTTCTACTAAGAAATCAGAGTGTAGTCTTATTGATCCCTTTGTAGGCAACTTTCTGTCACACCTGCTCCCAGAATTCTTTCCTTGTGTTCGGTTTTGGGAAATTTTTTTTTAAATAATCATTTTATTAGGGACTCATACAACTCATCACAATCTGTACATAACGTCATCTGTGTCCAGCACTTTAGTACATATGTTGACTTCATCATTCTTATGACACCCACTTTCCACTTGAGCCCCTGGTTTTGTTTTGGGAAATTTGATTGTACTAAATACCTTGATGCTTTTCTCTTAGGATTTATCTTGTCTGGGGTCTGTTCAGCTTCTTGAATGCATAGCTTGTCTTTCATAATGGTGGGGTGTTTTTCTTCCAACAGTTATCTGTGTTTATGTTTCTTTTTGTTCTAGAATTGCAGCCATATGTAAGTTGCTCCTCTTGATGGTGTCCCACATAATTCGTAGCTTTCTTTAGATAGTTTTCATTCTTTTTTCTGATTGTGTCTCTGGTAGATTGGTTGTGAACGATTTACCTTCAAGCTCATTGATTTTGCCTTCCATTTGTTCGGTTCTAATCCTTTGTCCTTTCAGTGTTTCATCTGTTTCTGATGACTATTAATCGTCATTATTTTTATTTGCTGTTTTTGTGTGGCTTCTAATTTTTTATTTATTTTGTTGATTTGTTCTTTTAGAATTCTGATTTCTTCTAAGGTTTTATTTGTGTTTTCCTTGATTTTGTCTGCAGATTTCTCAGTCTTTCTCTGTTGAAAGCACCTAAATATTCTTTGGAATTCTTTATTCAGTAGTTTCAATGCCATTTCTTCCCGAGAAAGGACTCTTGCCTCTGTCTTTTTGATAGTTGTATGAGCCACTTTCTCTTACTCCTGTGAACTGAAATTGTTGACGCCAAGACATTGCAATGGTGTTGTAATTGTATTTAATTGATGGTGTATGTTGGTGTGTTTTTCAGTATTCAACACCTGTCTCCTGGTAGATGTGGGTGTGTACACGTTCAATGTTCAAAGTTTGAGTAGCACAATTGAAAGTGTCTATCAGTGATGAGTGTGGTATAAGAGCAGGTAATGGCCCTCGCCCAGTAGATGGGGCTACCCAAGGTATGGGAGTTGGTAGACCATGGTTACTATCACCTGTTACGTGGGACAAGAAACTAAAGATTTTTTTTTTAAGCAAAATAATAATAAAAATAAAGAATAAAGAAAAGAGCAATAAAAACAAGGGAATATAAAAATAGAACAAGCAAAACCAGGAGAGAGGAAAAAGAAAATAGTAACAAAGAAACGTAAGAGAATTAAAGGGGGAGTGAGGAGGGGAAAAAAAAAGAGAAGAAAGCAGAGAAACAAAGACTAGAAAATGAGGAGAAGGAAAGGAAAGAAAAACAGACAGTAGAAAAGTAGGCAGGGTCAGGACCCAGAGAGGAAAAGACTGGTGAGGGAGGCGGGCAAGAGAGGATAGGTGATGTACACCTAGTCCTAGGTGGGCTTTTAAAGAAAAGTTTGAAGCTTTCGTTTTCTAAGACCTTATAGCAACAGAAGAGGCCTTTTACCTCCTTTGGAAGAGATGAGGCACGGAAAGAAGAGGTGCTCTGACATTCAAACTAGGTTTGGGTCCCAATCCTGGGACTTAGTAGCTTAGTCACTTGGCACTTTAAACTGACCATATTATTTTATGGATTAGTAGTAATACCTGGTATGTAGTAGGTGTTCGGTAGCTGAGAGAAAATCTCTGGGTTTTTAAGAATCTGATAATTACCTGAAGTTAGCTTTTTATGTAAAATATGAATAATAATGGTGCCTACCTCATACGTTTTTCTGGTTTTGTTTTACTTTTTATTGTGAATTAGGTGGGTGTTACTTGATAGTATAAAAGCCCTTAGAGAAAGGAAGTCCTAGCATATTGTAAGTACTGAGTGTGATACTTTTAATTTAGTTATAACTCTATAAAACGTCTTCAGTAGCTTCCTGGTGTGTCTGATACTTGCTTTTCTGCCCATTACCATGGATAGTGCAACGGTCTCTGTTGACCCAGGTTTCTGATTGCAGTTACTCTAGGGAGAAGGGACAAACAATTGGAAGGCAAGTGTCAGCAACTTGGTCTCCTTATTTTGTTTTGCTGCAGGTTGCCACATTTATCCTCCAGAAGATCCTCTTAGATGACACTGGTTTGGCTTATATATGCCAGACATACGAGCGCTTCTCCCATGTTGCCATGATCTTGGTGAGTTCTTGTATCTGCCCCTTTTGCAACTACTTCTGAAAACACACACCTATTTCCCTTTGCTGTGAGCATTGGACAGCCCTAGAACCTTGTATGATCAGTTTTGGAATATATAATCGCTAATTAGAATAATCTCGTGTATGTGTGTGTGTTTTTTTCCCTACACCAACCCACTATTTGGGGGAAAACAGGGTAAGATGGTCCTGCAACTGTCCAAAGAGCCTTCTGCCCGTCTGTTGAAGCATGTGGTGAGATGTTACTTACGACTCTCGGATAACCCCAGGTAAGCATTTATAGGACTTTGGGGAAACACTCTAGTGAATTGTGACCCCCGTCTCCTGTCATTGGTTAATAGATCTTCAGGACAGTGAAGGGATATAACTGGTTATTTTGTCTGGGACAAAACTGAATTCATTTTAAAATCAGGGTGTTGAATTTAAAAATCCATCTATCTGAATTTTATCTCTGTACACTGTACACTGTAACTCTGCAGTACTCTTGTAATTCCAGAGTCAAGTCAATTCCTAGGGAAGCCTTCTGATGCTTTATATCTGTGGTTTGAGTGTTCTCTCGTTACTGCAGACAGAGGGAGATACTCGTGTTCGAAGGTCTCTTAGAAAGGAACAAAGACCTCTTGAGTTATATCTCCAGTTCTCCCTTGATTACTGTAAGGTCCTTGGGCCAATCGTTTTATCTCCCTAGGTTCATAGTCTCTGCCAAAAATCATACAGTGTAGTAGACTTTAGAAATGTTTGACCTTTTGCTTTGTAAATCCATAATTCAAAGCCACTTGCTCAGATTAGACTAGACCACATACTGGGTGATTTCTGTGCTCCTAGGAATGAGGGGTTATTAGATTTCATGTGAACTTAGCCTCCTGCCATTGAGGTTTATTCAAGCCCTGGCTACTTATCCAATCAGGTTTGTCCTGGTTTCAGTGGTTCCTGTTTTCACTGAAGTTTGAAAATAGGCTTACTTAAAATGTTACTTGGGCACAGAAAACGAGACAATACGAAAGCCTTAACATTGTTAAAACAACCCTGTAAAACATTTGAAAGTTTATCTGGTAGTGCTGCTAACCAGAATTTTATTACTCATCTCTTACGGATTTTTAACTAGAAAACTAAAGCAGTTTCTGCAAAGACTCATATTTATACGCTGGTATCACATTTAAATCCATTCGTTTAATGTACAAAAAGTAAGGGCATATCCCTTACTGATGTACTGATTTCTGAAAGGTCTTATTTATTATAACCCAGAAAATACTCACATATTTCTAGCTATTTTGCTTTCTCATGAAGTTCTATATCTGGGCATCATTTACAAAATGTTTACAGACTGAGATCTTTGACTGAACTTAGGCCCAGTAGAAACTGTAAAGAATATTGTCAATTCTTAGAACCTTCTTTTTTTTTTAACTTTCAATTTTACTTATTTTGTATTGTTAGACTATCTAGTCTACAAACTACAGCAAGTATACACTAAAGTGCTCTAAAGCATTTTAATGGCTTCTTCGTAGAGTAACTTGACAGAGTCCTAGATTTCCAGATTCACTTGTGTCTGTGTCTAAGAAGGGGGTGGTGCTTCCCTGGCCCCCAATGTGGGTTTATGTGTTGGTCTCCGTGGCTGGTGTGTTTGTTTCTGATGTAGGGCACGTGAAGCGCTCAGGCAGTGTCTCCCAGACCAGCTGAAAGACACAACCTTCGCCCAGGTGCTAAAAGATGACACTACCACCAAACGCTGGCTTGCACAACTGGTGAAGAACCTGCAAGAGGGCCAGGTCACCGACCCCCGGGGGATTCCCCTGCCCCCTCAATGATCCTCCCCTGGCCTCTCCCACCATGCCCCCACCCATGGGGGGTGGGAGGGGGAACCTGCAAGGAAAACAGCTCAGGTCTTATCTTCGACTGGGAATAGACCACCCCAGTGCTGAACTGCCCTAGAGGAAAGGCCCCGGGAACCCTGCTGAGGTTGTGTGGCAGCCAGCGTGGGTTACCTAGAGGACCTGGGCCTTCTACTCCCAGGAAATGGGCTCCTGACCGAGCCATCTGCCACAACAGCCCCAGGAGGGTGTCAACACCAGCAAATGCTGTATTTGCAGCATGCCCAAGATGACCCTCTCTCCGACCTGCTTAGGCACTGGCAGGGACAGGAGACCATGACAAGAGCGGCGGGACTCTAGGCATGGTGGCTGCCTGGGACCAAGCCCTGTGGCGTTTTTTATTTTGCCTTCCTGGAAGATTGAAGATGTGGCTCTTCTCTCAGTATTTGTTTACTTTGTTGTTTTGTTTTTAAATCTCAGAGAGGTGTGTTTGGTGGACACACGCTGTAATGTTTGGCAGACTTCTGTCAGTTGGCACTGTTTACAAGTTTGTTAGCTGCATATGCTCAATAAAAAGTTGGTTTGGGCACTATATCCCCTCTGGCAGGCCAAGAGCTGCATTGAGCTGTGGGGAGGAATGGGAAGCTGCTGAGCCAAAGGACGCCAGGAACCAATCTTCCACCTCTGTTACTTCCTGTTCCCATTCTCCTACAACCTTGGCTGCCACAAGAAGCCGCCAGCTTTCCCAAATCTCAATGTGTTCCTTTTTTCTTTTTTCTCCTATTAAACTTTAAAATAGATGTCTTAATTCATCAGGTCGTCCTGGAAGGGCCTTCTGTTGGGCGGTGGAGGCATCATGTTTAGTCCAAGTTCTCAAAGGTATCTTCTGGATGACTTACTAAGAGAGATGTTTGGGATTGAGGTGATGGGGCTCCTTGATCCTGTGCTATGCTTTCGTGTGCGTTAAGCAGCCCCAGCTGCCGCCATGATCTTACTTGAAGCAGTATTAGCTGAATGAGTCCATTTTATTCAGATTTTTAAGACAGAGGCTTGCACTCTGTTAGCTCATTCAGTCTTTTTTTGGGGGGTGGGGGTGGCACATTCCCTTTTGATCTATGAGAATTACAGGCTTAGCCTCCACGTTCTGTGTCCTTGTTCATGTTGTGTCAGAGAACTCGATTTTCTCCCCTGGAGCTTTAGGCGTCTCTGTTCCCAGTTCACAGGCTTGAATCTGTACCATAGTATAAACTACCTGACTCCCCCCTCCCATCCCCTGCCAACACCTGCTATTCCCTCTTAACTCCCTATCCAGTCACTGGTGATATTGCTAATCCAACTCTAGAGAGGGACCACGTCTTTTGTGTCCCCATCTGCTACCATTGCAGATGTCCCTGAAGAAGCCTGGGAAGGTTTTCTAGGGGCAGGCTCAGAGAAGCCTGTGCAGAGGCAGTGTCACCAACACAAGGGCTCTTTCAAGCCCGACTTTCGCAAAGGGAGACGGACTTGTTAGTTGGCTTCTGTCTCTTTTGCTCCCACAAAGTTAAGTAACCTAGTTATAGGAAAGGCCAGATAAGCACTTAGTTCCCTGCCGTCTAAAATGAAGAGGGGACTCCATCCAGCTCCTAAACTCAAGCCGGAGGAGCAAAATCCCTGGTCTTGAAGAAAGCCAAACCCAGCATGGACTGCTTCGTTGTTTGGATTCCCTCCGCCCATAGTCTGATCCGGAATGTCCACTGGGGTGACCCTAATCTTTGCCAACCACCCTCCTGTTGAGCCTGCGTTATTTCATTTTCCCTCAACTGGGGCCCAGGGCCTTGCTCCCTGGGAAATTCTCTCCATCTTTGGGTGCATTGGCCATGTTACTGTGCCGATAGTGTCTTAATTCTTGACCCATCTTTTCTCAGCTGGCCTTGGACCCCATGGAGAAAGTGGGGGTGGGGTGGGGGCAGTGGGATGGTGGGGGGGGTGTATTCCTTGTAGTTGATTTTGATGTGTCTATATGTGTGAATAAAGAGAACCCTGCCCTCATTTTATGTTTTCCATCCCACACTCCCTCAACAAGATTGAAATAAAACATGCTTCCGTTTTTTGTAAGAAGTTTTTCTTTAAACTGGAGGCTTTATTTATCAGTATAAAGCTATCCAATAACTTTGATAAAGGAGCTCTGATGGTTGAGTGGGTTACACAGTGGGCTGCTAACCACAAGATCAGTGTTTCAAACCCATCAGCTGTTCCAAGGGAGAAAGATGAGGCTGTGTGCTCTTGTAAAGATTTGCATCCTCAGAGACACCAGGTACAGGTCTACTCTGTCCTACAGGGTTGCTATGAGTCAGAATTGACTCACTGAGAATGAGAGGCACTCAGGTTAAGTGGTTCTTGCTCTAGTCCTGCATACACACAAACACTGCCCCTGCCA